ACGAGCTAGGGTTTAGGGTCTAGGGTTTAAGGTTTAGGGTTTAGGGTTTAGGGTTTAGGGTTGAGGAATTGGGGCCCTTTGAACCCGGATGCACACAGTTGCAACCTGAACCCTAAGTCTCACCGAACCAGCCGACATCCTCAGCCACGACTGCAAAATTGCCGGGGGCGACCGGGGCGACACATGTTTCTCCACTACGAGCAGGGGGACAAGATCTCTCCCCCTCCCATACCTGCTTTTAAGCCGCCCGCGAGCCCCAAAACCTGTAAAAGGGGGCGCAGTCGGATGTTCCCCCTTATGCTAACTGTCCCAGAAGGTACTGTAATCCCTAGTAAGGACGCATCCCATCGGAATCCCAAAAGCTGAGCCTTTGGGCTCAGGCGGCCAGGCGGAGGGACTGTCAAGGCGGCGGAGGCCCAGGCCAGGTAGGAGGGCTTCAGGGCATCAAGCTTTGGGGTTTAGCATGTAGGGTTTAGGGTTTAGGGTTCAGTGCAGCAGTCCTAGCCGTCAAAAGGGTGTAGGATATAGGGTTTAGTTGCTCGAAAGGGTGGTTTAGCTGGGTAGGAGGGCTTTGCGGGCTTAGGGCAAAGTTGTGGGGCTCGAACTCTACACGGGAGTTCGGGAATTGGGTAGCCTACAAAATCCCTTCAAAGGTTAGGTCAGATCCGGTTAGATACGGGCGAGAAGCTACATCTTCCCCATTCCCGAGTTTCCTACGAAGAACTTGTAAGTAGGCGCGAGTGCATTGCAAGAAGTCGATCAGAAGCCGCACAAGTCCAGAACAATAGCAGCCCACCTTGTTCTCATCTGGTTTCCGTTTCGATTCTCGCTTCATGCATCGTTATTCATCAAGCTATCGCGAGAATGAGTTCATTGTTTCGTGACTTCACTTCATGCATTTACTCTTGGCCCATGAAGCGTGTTGACGCGCTTTGCTCCAGTCTTTTCAATAGTTGCGTTTAACAAGGAAGATATGAAGAAAGCTTCACTGAAGCCTTACACCCCCCCCACCAAACAAAACAGCCTGAAAGCCCTCTACGTGAAGAATCATGGACAGTTACAAGTAGGCTTATAAGTAGGGTAGCTATACTTATAACTGGGTATAACCTTGTTTAGGTTACTCGTAACCTTCCAAGTAACACCCCCCCCCCCAAAAAAAAAAAAAGAAAAAAAAGATACGTCTCCCGCAAGGTGTCCCAGAGCTCGGGCAGCGCGTCCGGATTCTGCCCCTCGGGCTGCCCAAGTTTACTTGGTGGTCCATGGGGGTAGTTTTCAGTGAAATGATAATTAGGGCAGCTACAAGTATAACTGGTTCTAACCATATTTCAGGTACTTTAACGCCTACTTATAAGTACCCATGGACCTTCAAGTAGGGTTTCGGGGCGGACTTGGAGATGAAAACGCTGTCGGGCTTAATGGCCCGACGTGCCCTTGGCAACCCACACGGCTTGATTCAACGCCCTAAAATAGAGGCCTCACCCGAAACCCTAAACCCTAAACCCTTGAGACCCTAAACCGCAACAGGCGGGGTAAGCACTGGGCGGAGGAACAGTTGGGGCCTGGACTTGGCTTCCCCGAGCCATCCTCCCAAAACCCTCAACCCTAAACCCTGTCGGAGACCCTAAACCCTAAACCCTAAACCCTAAACCCTAAACCCTAAACCCTAAACCCTAAACCCTAAACCCGAAACTTACCCTAAACCCTAGAGACCCTAAGCCTTAAGCAGCCCCACATCTTCCGCTCTCAGGCGGGCGGGCCACCTCGGCATCCCGCAAAGTTTCACACTCGAGGTGCGGGATGGTTGGGGGGCCAGGGGGGGGGGTTTCGGGTTTAGGGTTTAAGTTTAGGGTTTAGGGTTTAGGGTTTCGGGTTTCGGGTTTCGGGTTTCGGGTTTCGTGTGGTTGAGGAGCGTCATGGGGCGGGCTCTTTGCAAGTCCTGGCCCTATGCAGTAGCAACACATGAGAGGTAAAGTTTAGGGTTTAGAGGGTTTCGGGTTTTAGGGTTAGGGATTAGGGATTCGGGATTAGGGTTGGGGGTTATTTGTGAATTATGGCCCCTTGTGTGGGTTACTGTGATAAGGCGGGCCCTCGTTTTTAGGGTAACCCAAATGGGACGATAATTTTCAGAAGTGACCATATGAAACACCACCAACAGAATACCACATAATCACACGTGATAACGCATGACGACGATGCACACTGCCACGTAATCGTCATAAATCTTAACCATGGACTCTGTTCCCTTTCTTCCGGGTCGAGAAAAGACTGAGGACTTGTGTGGGGAACCCTGAACCCTGAACCCGGAGTCCAAAACCCTGAGCCCGGCCCGAGGTTTGCTTTGAAGGTTCATGGGTGGTTATATATAAGTAGGCTTGTAAGTAACCCTAAATACGGGTTATAACCTGTTAGAAGTCTAGAATAAGGGTTATAACCTGTTAGAAGTCTAGTTGCCCTACTTCTAGCCCCGCTTCTAACCACCCGTGAACCTCCCAGTCGTTGCTCGCAGAGCTTCCGTCGCAGGGGGAGATCCTACAGATCGGGCGGCCGCGGCCGAATGGACAAGCGCGCCGGGCACAACCTGCTCCCCGTCTCAAGCGAAGCACGACTTGGTAGCCCAGAGGTACCCTGTTGCCCTTTTTTGGGGCTCAAGGTCCCCTTTTGTACAGTAGACAACCCAAAAAAGGGTACCCTTATTATAAGATGGTTGCTGGGCTACCAAGACTATGGGGACCCCGCGACGGGAACGGCAGGAGTGTGGTGGGATTTTCTTGGGATGTTCCCATGTTCCTCCTTTTATACTAACAGTCCTGAATCGGCATTTGAATGGGGGTACTATAATCCCCATTAAGGACTGTCCGTATAAGGGAGGAAGATCTCAAGGCATACAGCACGTGTGTTGCTTTCTTTGTGGTGTCGGGTTCTCGAGTTGGGGGTCTATGGATTCGGGTTTTAGGGTCTGGGGGGTTTGCCTAGGGAATGGTGTTCCGGGTGTATACCACCCCGCTGCCCGAGGATGATCAGCTGCTTGTCAAAACGCTGCTGCCCCAGCCCGGGAATTCAGGCGAGGGCCCTAAACCCTAAACCCTAAACCCTAAACCCTAAACCCTAAACCCTAAACCCTAAACCCTAAACCCTAAACCCTAAACCCTAAACCCTAAACCCTAAACCCTAAACCCTTCTGATTTGGTTGTTCTCTCGGACTCGAAGGGATTTAGTGTGAATGGTTTGGGCCGAGTTTTTTCAAGCTGAGTGAAAGTTTTGACCCACTACTGACACTGACCCTCTGCCGGGGACACACCGAAGCTGGCCTGACTCAGCTTCGAGCTTGTCTTGCCTAAGTGTGCCTGTCCGTCTCCATGCTGTTTAGCCCCTCAGCTCTAGGCCCTACATCGCTAGGCCCTAGGCGCTAAACCCGAAACCTCTCCCCTAAACCCTAAACCCTAAACCCTAAACCCTAAATCCTAAGCCCTAAACCCTAAACCCTAAACCCTCCATGCTGTTTAGTCCCTCAGCTCTAGGCCCTATATCCCTAGGCCCTAAGCCCTAAACCCGAAACCTCTCCCCTAAACCCTAAACCCTAAACCCTAAACCCTAAACCCTAAAGCCTAAACCTCTCCAGCTGCCCAGGTCCCTGGGCACGCGCATCTGGCTCCCCAGGCACTGCGTCGAGCCGCTGGAAGGTCTGGTGCCTGGACATTGTGGGTTGTGTCGCTAGGGCTTAGGGTTTAGGGTTTAGGGTTTAGGGTTGAGGGTCCATTCTGGGGTGTGTCGCTGGGGTTTCGGGCCTCAGGGCTGTTGTCAGATGTGTACGTATGTGTGTTTATTTGTAGATGTAACATGCGCAAGTAGAACCTCTTCCCAAATCCGCCTACCCATGGTCACCTTTGAAAAATGTAGGTATCAACAGGTGCATGCATGAATGCACGCATAGCTACACAGATGTAAGTACGCAAGTATGTATATAGACATATATATATATACACATATGCACATCTTCCTCAGTACAAATATATAAGGAACATGAGGAAGAACATACCAGTCTAGATTTACATTGCACGCTGTTTTCGCATGGTTTGCGAGTCGAGCACTTCGAGGTTTCTGGCGCTTGAACCAGAAAGCAAGGTTCGAACTCTGATGAAGGAGGAGGGTTGAGGGTTTAGGGTTGAGGGTTTAGGGTTTAGGGTTTAGGTTTAGGGTTTAGGGATTGGGACGGTTTGGGGATCTCCCCTCCCTAAACCTTAAACCGGCTCATGATTCTGGGCACGTCAGAAAGTCCTGGTGATTTCGGTTTAGGTGGCGTGGAGCTCAGAACTGGGTTGAGAAGGTTTCGGTACACAACAAGGGGGGTGGCGCACCCAAACTGGTAGGTCAAGGGGTGGGGGGCGTGTGGGGTAGCGCGACATATGTATATATATATATATAATATGTATATAATATGTATATACACATACATACATGCATGCATACATACATACATACATGGCTTGCAAGGCAGCAGACAAATAGGCCGCTAAGACCTTCAACAAAAAACGGCGCATTACTTCTTGATGAAATATGAACTCCATGTATTTCTAGTCTCCTGTAGAATAGACATGCCTTTAGAAAGATTCCCCTCTTCAATCCCAAAGTGCGAAGGACCAGTCCGGCCCTAAACCTTGAACCATCTTGAACCCTAAATCTTCAAAAACGTCCGAAAGTTTGAGCTCGCAGAGGTGTCAGAGTTTCTTCGCTCTTCCATTCCGTTGCGGGTATGGGCCTGCTCGGTGGAGCCTCGGCTTATACCCCAACATGAACTTCACGCGTGCTCCCATGGGTGTGCTTCAAGTCAGGTCTGTGAGGCCTTTCATGCCCTGTTGGCATTTTTTGTGCCGGAGCCTCTTGCGAGCAGCACTGCGACACAGGACGATGTTGGGGTGGAGCTGCGAGCCCAAGCCTTGACCGCAGCCTTCGGTTTTCAAATGTAGCAAAAGAGCAATTATTTTCAGCTCATCGCAGCTGTAATGCTCACCGTGGCGTCAAGCCATCGGCTCCTGGCCGTGGTTTGCGCCGCTTGGTTGGCTTCAGGAGGATCCTTCAAGCTGTCCGATGCCAAGGGCGGCGCGACGGCCACCCCGCCTTTGCCGCATCAGCAGCGCTCCGATGGAAACCCTCAAAGCACCCCGGAACGCCGCGGAGGCAAGACGGATGCTTTCGGCATGCTCGCGAAGAACTTAAACTTCCTTTTGATGAAGGTCGCACAGCTTGAGGCCGTTGCCGAGATGCAGGACGCCAAGATCAGGAGGTCAGAGCAGGTGCACAAGATGCTTCTCGATGAGATCGGGTCCTTGAAGGCAGAGGGCAAGGGCATGGGCTCGAGTTTTCGGAAGCTTCGTCGCCGAGTGAGTTTGTTTTAGTCTCTTTGGGGCGGGGGGGGGGGGGGGGTGGTATCGTCTCTCAAAAATCGGAAAGGCAAACCCTCCCCTTGATTGGAAAGTAAGGAAAAGTGAGGCTTTGCTTCAGGAGGTTGTTCAGGATGCAGAGACGCGCGTGGACAAAGCCACGGAGATCATGAAAGACGTGTTGCTTGGCTGAAAACTGAGCTTGATCAACTTCTTGGGTTCCGCTTTTTCGCAGGACGAGGTAAAGCTTACAACCCTAAGCGCCAGGCTGTAAGCCTTTGTGGTTATCGGAGAAGTCAGGTTTCTCAAGCACCAGCACCAGCTGGAGACCGGAGACCTGGCCCTCTTCGTCGTTTATATATATATATATACATATATATATATACATATACATATATATATATACATATACATATACATACATACATACATACATATATATATATATATATATATATATATTTTTTTTTTGTCTCCCCGGTGTGCTCAAGGCTCTAGCGAAGCCCTAAGCCCAACCCCCTGGAATAACCCCAAGCACTTCTTGAGACAGCGAAGTTGGGATGTTCCCCCCATATACTAACAGTCCTTAAAACGGGATTCTAATCGGGGGTACTAGAATCCCAATTCAGGACTCTTAGTATCAGGGGTAACATCCCAGCAGCGAAGGAAAGTTTCACCCAAACCCCGACCAGGAGGTGGCGACTTGGGGATGCTTGGGAACGTTTATTATTATTATTATTTGCTTTTTGGGTACTATAATTCCTAAGCATTTAGGGTTTGGGGTTTAGGATCTAGGGTTTGGGGGGGTTTAGGTTTAGGGTCTAGGGTTTGGGGTGTAGGGTTTGGGGTTTGGGGTTTGGGGTTTAGGGTTCAGGGTCCCAGAATCAGTATAGGTGAAGGCCGGCTTGTCGAGGGCGCACCAGAGGAGCGCGCAGAAGTCGATGGAGGCGGCCTCATCCAACGAGCCCCGGGCCAGATCTTTACTTGGAGGTTTAGGGTTTAGGGTTCAGGGTTCAGGGTTTAGGGCTTAGGGTTTAGTGTTTAGGGTTTAGGGTTCAGGGTTTTATACTAACAGTCCTTAATAGGGATTTTAGTACCCTCTACTATCATCCCTATTAAGGACTGTTAGCACCAGAAGGAACATCCCGATTCATGGGTCGTTATAAGTGGGGGTCATAAGTAGGGTAGCTATAACTATAAATAACCGCTTGTGACCTTGTTGAGGGTACTATGATCACCCTACTTATAACTACCCACGAACCTTCAAGTAGTGCGATGGTGCTCGTAGTTGCGGGCTCTGAATTCGGGCACACGTCAGCTCTAGGGGACGCCCTGTTGAAAACTTTGACGCACATGCTGATAGCTGATCACCTGGTTATCAGCGTTTTCGAACACCCCCCCCCCCCTCGAAGCCGTTTTTTTGATTTTGCTTCCACAACTTTGTGCGTATCAGCCTTCCGCCACCGTCCAGCCAAGGAGACACGGTGGGGTCCCGTGGGTTCAGCAGTCAACTCTGTGGCGGACACTGCGACGGATGTCGGTGGCACTGTGGTGAACACTGCTGTGGACACTGCGGATTTCGCCACGGACTTTGCCAGCGATCCCGTGGGTACAATGGAAAACGGCTTTCAAGCACTCTCGGACCCTGCGGCTAAGGCAGGGCAGAGTAGCCTGGCTTTCTCTGGTGAACGTACGTAGCAGTAGTATCTCGCTCAAGAATCAGAGATTGCTATGCCAGGTGAAGTTTGCCAAGGACATTCTCGCAGAGCACACAATTTCTACCGTGGCGCAGGCCCTTTGCCGAAAGGGGTTTGCGCAAACACAGACTGTGGATGCAGTGGACACCGCCCAAAATCTTCCCAAGCGCATCATCTACGTGGAGGTTCATGGTACTTATAACCCAAGTATCGCTGTACTTATAACCCACTTATAAGCCCCCAAGTGCCCTAATGTGGCTATAGACAGTTATGATAGGGTTATTAAGTATCATGAACCTCCAAGTAAGCATGCCGGCAACCGTTTTGATGTTCGGCGTCTTGGGGAGCAGAGCCCGTTGATCAGGAGGAGGAGGGGGGGTTAACCTTCCCGAGCTGCAAGACTTCGACACCACCCTCAACCCTCAACCCTAAACCCTAAACCCTGAACCCTCAGCCCCTGCTTGTCTGCAGCCCTTCTCAGGCAACGGAGATCCTGAAGAATGTTCTTGGACTCCCCGGCTTCTCGGAGTTCACGGGAACATGCAGCCTTTCTCGCCAGCCAGGCTTCACCTCGTTTGACCAGAATGGGATCGGACTCGACCTTGGCCGATTCTCTTGTTCCATGAGTCTGGTCGGGCAGCCAAGCAGCGCTTTCAGTGTCGACCTGGGCAGACGCTCTGTGTCGCTGCCTGCGGAACTTGGAGAGGTCTACAAAATTGGCTGGCGGCTCACGTCTTGTGCGAGAAAAGACACTGCCTTCCATTTGATCGAGTGCCTGAGTATGGATCTTTTGTCTCTCGCGCCTGCGGCCTACGTCGGTGTCGCGGTGCGGAAGCTGAACATCATGGACCTAGTGCCCTCTCAAGTGCGGCAAGTTGTGCAGTGGAATGAGGAGGCAGTCAGGACAGTGTTCAGTGTGGGAAATCAGCTCATGCAGTGCCCTAACAGAGGCCACGAGCATGACTTGATCAAGTGCCTTGGTGATTGGATCATGCAATTCAAGCCCCCGATGAACTACATGCCCGACCCAGTGAAGAAGCTTGCCAACGGGCGCATCATGGACCTAGTGCCATCTCAAGTGCGGCAAGTTGTGCAGTGGAATGAGGAGGCAGTCAGGACAGTGTTCAGTGTTGGTTACGAGCTCATGCACTGCCCTAACAGAGGCCATCATCATGACTTGATCAAGTGCCTTGGTGATTGGATCATGAATTTCAAGCCCCCAATGAACTACATGCCCGACCCAGTGAAGAAGCTTGCCGACGGACGCATCATGGACCTAGTGCCATCTCAAGTGCGGCAAGTTGCAAGCTGGAATGAGGAGGCGGTCAGGACAGTGTTCAGTGTTGGTTTTGAGCTCATGCACTGCCCTAACAGAGGCCATCATCATGACTTGATCAAGTGCCTTGGTGGTTGGATCATGCATTTGAACCCCCCGGTGGACTACATGCCCGACCCAGTGAAGAAGCTTGCCGACGGACGCATGATGGACCTCATGCCGCAGCACATGGGGCTTCTTGCGAACGGCGATCCCAATTCCATCCAGAACATGCTCACCTTGGGCCAGGAGCTTGTGAAGTGTGCCGATGCCAGTACAACCTCTCCTGCTACTGCGCAACGTGACATCGTACAGTGCCTCGGTTTCCAAATCGTGAGCAGGGTCGCTCCTTTGAACTTCCTGAATAAGTTGGGCGACATCTTCGCAGAGTTCATCGAGACCTTCTCGAAGGTGGCTGCGGCAGTGATCCCCCAAGCCATGAAAGGTGGGCAGTCGTTGCTGCAGATAGCTGCCACGACCGACTTTCCTTCTATCAGTGCTGGGCCCGTGGTTCATCACAGAGGCCTGCCCTTCAGTGTGGGTTGCTGCTGAAGGGCTGTTGCGCGAATTGGGCCCGATGCATTCTCTCTCTCTCTCTCTCTTCTCAAAAAAGCTGTTAACGACAGAGCTTCTGGTGCAGTTGACATTTGTATCTCGAGCTCAGTTCCACGAAAAGGCTCATCCAAACTGGCAAGGGGTTTGAACAGGTGAGGAAGTTGCAAACTCCTGTGCCACAATATATTGTAACCTTCTTGGCAGGTTGTTCCCCCGAACCCCTGAAAATTCAAACCCCCCCCAGGAAGCAGTGAGAGCGTCTTGAAAACTCAAACTCCTCCTAGGAAGCAAACCCCCGAGAAGATTCCCAAGCTGGAACAACAACAACAACAACTACTACTACTACTACTACTACTACTACTACTACTACGACGACTACTACTACTACTACTGCTACTGCTACTACTGCTATTACTTCTACTTCTACTACTGCGACTACTACTACTACTACTACTACTACTACTACTACTACTACTACTACTACTACTACTACTACTACTACTACTACTGCTTCCACTACTACTTCTACTACTACTACTACTACTACTACTACTACTACTACTACTACTACTACTACTACTACTACTACTACTACTACTACTACTACTACTACTACTACGACTCTACTACGACTACTACTACTACTACTACTACTACTACTACTACTACTACTACTACTACTACTACTACTACTACTACTACTACTATTTGCTTAAGAACCCCCAAAGAATAAAAATAGAAATCACTATAGCGCCCTTAATAGGGAAGATTCTTTAAACAAAATATTTTTTTGGGGTTCTTAAGCAATTAGTCTCCTAAGACACCACAGGTAAGCCTAACTGCGAACTTCGGCTCGCAAGCCCTCCCCTGACGAGTACTTGGAAAGAATTCTTAATTTTCTGGTTCCGATAACCCCAAAGGAACAGCTGGAATTATAGTTTTTGCTAGGGTGCCAGGTTCAGTATAGCCCCCTGTGTTGCAAGAAGTCCTCTGAGGAAGAATCGACAAAACAAGCCCGGTCAGGGCCAGCAGCGGTCCGGGAATCACATCCAAGTGCTTAAACGTCTGGGGTTTTCGGGTTTGGGTTTAGGGTTTAGGGTTTAGGGTTTAGGGTTTAGGGTTTAGGGTTTAGGGCTTAGGGCTTAGGGCTTAGGGCTTAGGGCTTAGGGCTTAGGGCTTAGGGCTCAGGGTTTAGGGTTTAGGGTTTAGGGTTTAGGGTTTAGGGTTTAGTCTCAGCCGGGGGCAACATACACATTCTGTTGCTTGTATGCAGCGTACGCCCGAGCGCCGTCTCATTTTGCCGGCTGACGCTGTCGGACTGACAACATTTAGAAGTTTTGCGGCCCCTATTTAGAGAACTGCCCACATCTTTCTTGAAACGGAAGCTTAGCGCAAGGAGCACAGCTGATCCTGCGCTCTCCGTGTAGTGTGACACCAAAAAGCATGAAGTTGAAGCAGCTTTTAAGTTTAAACGGAAAAGGGCAAGTGCACCAACCCTCTCCGATCAAGCACTCCGTACATGTGGTAACCTTACGTTTCTTCTCGTTCAATTTGCCTTTGTTGTACTTGGTTGTCTGTGATGTACTTCATGGTTTTGACCTACGTGTGAGGCATGCTGCACATGTCATGCTTCACAACATGCCACTCTGTACATGCTGGTTCAGGGGACAACCTGGTCATCACGAAGCACTCTCAAAAAGTGCCCCGCGAACAAGTCGAGCTGCTGCAAGAGCTGGCCGCTGCGAAGAAGGTGCACTCCCTGTCGGGATATTCAGGGTTTAGGGTGCAGGGTTTAGGGTTTAGGGTTTCTATTGCTCACGTGTCTACAACCCTAAGGATGTTTATAGGATAGGTAAGTATTCGACAATTACACACACATGCATTGCACATGGTGTGCTGAACGCTATATAACATGTAATACACTGATTGGCATGCATAATGGTATATATATACATATATTTACAAATAAACAAATAAATAAACATATATATATATATATATATAAATATCTATACATATTTATATTTGTTTTTTTACAAGATATAGTTTGCAGGGAGTTGTATGTTGTACACCCTCTATTCACAAAATATTACGCATCATTTTAAGTGTTTTTTCAATTAACAACTATACGTGTACACATATGAATGTATACATATCTGTTTATGCAGAAAACACTATCAGATAATGTGTTTGTACATGCTGTACCTTGATTGCGTTTACAAATTTTGTAAAATGTTTCTATAATGTATGCCCGCCCGCCTGCCCGCCCGCCTGCCTGCCCGCGCGCGCACACACACACATACACCCACGCATGCACGCACGCACGCGCGCACATGCACGCGCATGCACGCGCATGCATGCGCACGTGCGCGCGCACGCGTGCGCGCGCACGCGCACGCGCGCACGTGCGCGCGCACGCGCACGCGCATTCGCGCACGAGCACGCGCGCACGCGCACGCGCGCACGCGCACACGCACACACGCACACACGCACGCAGGCAGACACGCATATATATATATATATATATACATATATATATATATATCTACACTGGCTCTGCTTGACCCTCTGGATGCAATGGCAGAGAGAGATATACAGATACATACATATATATATATATATATCTAAATATACATATAAAGATATATATATATATACATGTATATATATGTGTGTGTGTGATCAAAGTGCGCCCGATCCCCCCCTTACCCCTCCAGGGTATCCCACCTTGACCCCTGCCCCCTCGCTGTTGTGTGGCTTGAGGTTTTGGGTTCGGGTCTGGAGTTTCGCGTTTAGGGTTAGGGTTTAGGCAAAAGGGCTTGGGGTAAAGGGTTTAAGGTTTAGGGTTTCAAGTTGGGGGGGGGATTGGGGGGGACGAGGAGGGGGGACCGGCGAAGCACAAAATGTATGTATATAGATACATGTAGATATAAATATAGATATAGATATGTCATGATATGTATACAAATATACATTTACTTATACATTTAAATTTTGAAATGCAGAAATACATAAATAACAAAAAATATATGTATGTATGTATGTATGTATGTATGTATGTATGTATGTATGTATGTATGTATGTATGTATGTATGTATGTATGTATGTATGTATGTATGTATGTATATATACATATATGTGCGTGTGTAAGACATGTCCATGCATATGTACATGCATAAGTATGCGTTGATGTCTATGCCTTTGTGTTTTTGCAGGTATGCACACACCCCCCCCCCGACCCGCGCGCGCACACACACGCACACACGCGCGCGCACGCAAACAAAAAAAACAATAAATAAGCAGATAAGTAAACACATACACACACACATATACATAGATAGATAGATATATATATATATATATATATATATATATATATATGCACACAGATATACACACCTCTGTATTGTGTTGATACACATGCTTAAACATCCTGCGTCCAGGATGCCGGCGATTCTGATGAGCCAGCTGCGATCGACTGGTCCATGGACAACTATGGGCCTGAGATCCATGAGCTGGTGACCCAGCTCCTCCTCTGCGATTGGTGCGGTCCACGGGTTCAGGGTTCAGGGTTCAGGGTTTGTAGGGTTTAGGGTGCAGGTACCGGCATGGCTCTCAGACCGGGTTCAAAGGTTCAAGGGTTCAGGGCTCGGTTTCGCGCAAGTTCCGTTGCGTTTCGATGCTCCCTCTGTGGTTTCGCGCGAATTCCGTTGCGTTTCGATTGCTCGAGTTCCGGCCTCTTCTGGCCTCTTCTGGGGGGGGGGGGGGGGGTACTTAGATTGCGGGCCGCATTTTTCGAGATTTCTTCTTCCTACAGTACAGGTAACGTGAAGCCAGCCAGGATCTGCAGGAGGCAGCCAGAAGCGGGAGGGAAGGCGCTTGAAGCTTTGAAGTTGTATAGCCAAGCAAAATGAAGCCAGGATCCGCGCGGCATTAGACCCATTCAAAAGAGCAGAAGAGGCGTTTCCCGCATGCAAGCGGGTGCCTCCTCGAAGCCCAAAAAGTGTTTGTGCATCATGAGGGTTGTTCTTGAGGTTCCTGTACCAACCATCATGAGTTCAGTCTTGTGTGTAGCAGGCTTCGGCTACTAGGTGGAAACTGACCCGAAACTGAGCCGCAAGAATCCGCTGCGAAGTGGCAACCTCCAAGGTTCAATGGCAAAGAGACGGGGACGGGCTCCTGCCTAGCCTTCGCGCCAGGGAGCAAGACAGGCAGCAACAACCAGGCCACCCAACAGGATTGGCAGGCCCCAACGAAGGACGACTTCGTGAAGCTTGAGCCCTGGGCAGTACCATGTGGCAACCAGTGGATGAAGGACCACTGGCAGAAGTGGCAAGGCTACTCTTTCTACACGAGCGATGCAAGCCTCGAGAAGTGTTTGACGGTGTCCTTCAGTTTGTCCATGCAGCCAGTCGTCGCCTTCGTGGGTGGCATCGAGTTCAAGCTGCTGCCTGGGCCCTTGGCGCAAGTCGACACCCTTGCCGGGGCCTTAGAGCTTGTTTGATGCTTGTGCTTCGCCACAATCTGCAGCATGTGCCTGCCACAAGTGTACAACTGTGCATTCTTGTGGCTGTGATACCAGTTCGGTCGATGATGCATCTCCGAATCTGGGTTCACACACAGGGCTTCGGTAGCTTTTGGTCTTGCTTGCATCCACGGGAACCCATAGCGCATGGGCCGGGACATGCTGTGAGAGGGGGGGATCCCGGTCCACAAAACGCCCGGGCTTCCTCGAAAGTGGGCCCAAGGTGGCTGTTTGTTGCTTTCCTCGACACATCATGAGAGCAAGGCCCTCTTCAAAGCTAAACCCTAAACCCTAAGCCCTAAACCCTAAACCCTAAGCCCTAAACCCGTAAACCCCTAAACCCCTAAACCGTAAACCTCAGCTGAGGTGTGCTGGCCGGTTGGTCAGCCGGGCGGCCTGGACCTCAGCGTCCTGCGCTCGGAGGTGAAGTCCAACAACGTGCTCCTCTTCAGCCGGACGCTGCGCTTGGCCAAGCGCTTCGGCCAAGACACGGACTTCGTGACCAAGAACCTCAACGGCGCCCACCAGACCGCCCGAAGCTTCTTCGGCAAGCCGGGGAGTTCCGAGAGCAGCACCGCCATAGCTTCCATGAAGAGGGCCGCGCTGCTGGAGAGCAACCGCACCCTGGCTCAGGCTGCTCAGGCCGCGGCCAAGGCTAGGCTGGCCAAGCTGGAGGAGTCTCTGTACTGGAAGGTGGAGGAGGAGGACCTCTATCTGGCCTCGGTGGAGTACGGCAAGGACGCCGGCATGAACACGACCTCCGAGTTGCGAGGGAGGGCGGCCGGTCGACGCCTCAGCGCACTTCAAAACGGGGAGAAGAGGCAGAACTCCTTCAAGCTCTTCGGCTTCAAGAATTCCGGGCTGGTGAACTATGACGTGAAAGGCTTCTTGTCGGGCAATTGGCTGCAGCTTGGGTTGCAGATGGGCTGGGGGCATTACCAGAGCCCGGAAAAGACGATCAACTTGGTGAACATGGCAGACCAGTTCGCCGCAGTGCTAGCAGCCGTGCCCACCTCGCTCCTGTCGTTGGAGAGCAAGAAGAGGGCCATCGCCGCGCTATATGATTTCCAGGACTCAAGTTCAATTTCGTTCTGTCCCAGCTTTGCATGCCTCAACTAGTCAGGGGCTCAATGCTGTGCTCTGCAAACACTGGCATGATTTCCAGGATGGGGATATCACAGAAGTGCAGGGCACGGCCAAGACGAAGACTCTCGCCGGGACCGTCAAGAAGAGCAACGGAGACGCGCAGTGGGCGTTCGACGTCAACTCGCCTCCGGTCGGCTCCACCATCCAGCACCCTCCCGTGCCCAGCAAGACCCTGCCGGCATGTCAGGCCACGGAGCAGTGCACTATTTAGGGTTTAGGGTTTAGGGTTTAGGGTTTACGGTTTAGGTTTTAGGGTCCTACTTGCAACAAAGCCCCACTTCCATCAGCCAAGTGATTTCGGGTGCTTTGTGGCCTTTGGGAAGGTGCTGCAGCTAGGGAGGGGTCATTGGAGAGGACTCGACAGCAAACGTTACAGAAGTCTATGTCTTGTCCCAGCTACGTAATCAACCCAAAACCCAAAACCCAAAACCCTAAACCCTAAACCCTAAACCCCAAACCCTAGCCCTAAACCCTAAACCCCTTCACCCTATAAGCCCTAATCCCGTCAGGGCAGCCCCGTCCAGGGCAGCTCCTGCTCTCATCTGCAGGCCTTTCTTAGGGTTTAGGGTTTAGGGTTTGGGGTTTGGGGTTTAGGGTTTAGGGTTGAGTCTCTCGGCCAATTCTGAGGTTTAAGGGTATCGATATTGTTTTTTGAGGTTTGACATCGGCTTATTGTATTTGATTGTACTTGATTGTTTCTAGTTTTTGTGTTTAAATTTAGGGTTTCAGGGTTTTAGGGTTTTCGGGTTTTAAGGTTTAGGGTTCAGGGTTTTGGGGCTGTAGTGGCTGGCTGTTGCCTGGCTAGCGGATCCGAGGCCTTGATGCAGAAAGGGGTTTAGGGTTTAGGGTTTCGATTCCTTTTTGGTGTTTATTTCGCTTTTCAGGGTTTTCGGGTTTAGGGTTGTAGGGTTTTAGGGTTTTAGGGTTTTAGGGTTTTAGGGTTTCAGGGTTTTTGTGGTTTAGGGTTTAGGGGCTTTAGGGTTTTAGGGTTCTAGGGTTTTAGGGTTTTAGGGTTTTAGGGTTTTCGGGTTTTCGGGTTTTCGGGTTTTCGGGTTTTAGGGTTTTAGGGTTTTAGGGTTTTAGGGTTTTAGGGTTTTAGGGTTTTAGGGCTTTAGGGCTTTAGGGTTTTAGGGTTTTAGGGTTTTAGGGTGCCAATTCTGAGGTTTGGACATCGGTTTATTGTATTTTGTTGTAGCTTGTGTTTTTTTTTGTTTTTCAGGGTTTTAGGGTGCCAATTTTGAGGTTTGACATCGTTTTGTTGTATTTTATGGTATGTTGTGTTTCTAGTTTTCTTTTCTTAATTTAGGGTTTCAGGGTTTTAGGTTTTGGGGGTTTAGGGTTTTCAACACACTTTATGTCCAAAAGCTTTAAAAATATTTTATTATAATGCAAATAAATATAAACGGGATTCGACCATCATCCAATTAAACGCTACTTGTAAAATACGTACTGGTAGTAGTTTATTTGTTAATGTATGAAATGAAATATTAGATAAAACTTTATTTAATAAAATTTACCAAAACCAACTTGATTTGATATAAGTATTGTGTTTTTTATCTAATTTACATATTTGTGTAATTTCATTTACATCGAGGTTTTTTAATTGTAGTTTATTATTCATAACTTTTTCATCTTGTTTTAATATATTACATAATGAATCAGTATTATTATTATTATTATTACTCTTCTTATTATTATTACATGATAATATTACGAAATGATAATTAATTATTGTTTTGTTCATTACTTTTAAAAAACTTGTTAGGGTTTAGGGTTTTAGGCTTTCAGGGTTTTCGGGTTTAGGGCCTAGGGTTTTAGGGCTTTAGGGTTTTAGGGCTTTAGGGTTTTAGGGCTTTAGGGTTTTAGGGTTTTAGGGTTTAGGGTTAAGCGCCCTTATACAGTTTGAATGGGTATTTTGGGTGCTGTGATGTTATGAGTATATCGGGACGGTACCTGGGAGAATGCTGTCATCGGGATCTGCCGTGAATACTTTTGGGCTCCTGCAACAGCTGCTCGCGCAAAGGAGGCGGACTGTGCGAGCCACTTTGCGGAGCAGGGCGTGGCGTGGCCGGCATTTATGTGACTTGCGCTTTGGAGGAGAAACCTGGAAAATCACAAGCCAAACGTCTGAAGCTGCGACAAAGTTCTTCCGCATGTAGGTGCAGGGCACGTCTGCCCATGGTTAGCCTTGAACTCCACCAACCCTTTGTAGATGCACAGCTTTGGGGGGTGAGGGGCGGAGGCACCTCCCCTGAACCTTTTGAAGCTCACATCCCTGAATCTTTTTCTCGCACCTTCACCACGGTTGGCAAGAGCTGAGGCACGCGGCATGCAGTGCACGTGGATGGACGGAAGATGCTTGACGCTTGGCTTTGCTGCTCTTGGCGCTTTTCGGATTTTTTTTTTGGGAGTCGGGGGTTTCCTAATCCGGATACAGCGGCTCTCGTCACTTCCGGAGCCCTGAACCCTTCACTGCCTTCTCAAGAAGGGCAGCTCCCTATAAAACCCTAAACCCTAGACCCTGAACCCTAAACCCTAAACCCTAAACCCTAAACCCTAAACCCTAAAGTTCCTGCATCTCCGAAGGACCACGGGCTCTGAGTGTGTGCCAGACGCATGGCTGAACAGTCTGGGAACGTCCGGGATTTAGGGTTTCCCAGCAAGCTTGTCCAAAACTGGGTTCAAACATGGTTTCGGGTCGGGTTTAGGGTTTAGGGCCTTTAGGGTTTAGGGCCTTTAGGGTTTAGGGCCTTTAGGGTTTAGGGCCTTTAGGGTTTAGGTTTAAGGTTTAGGGTTCCCTTTTTGGGGGTTTAGGATTGGATGCACAGGGTGCCGGTCCTCACTAAAGAAGTGGGAGTGGCATCAGGGCGAAAACTACCCCTGACTCCGTTCCAGATGCCTTTTTGTGGGCACCGAGGCTGTTACAGACCCCGCGGCGAAGTCTGACATGGTGGCCTGGTTCAAGAGCGAGGATGCGGGCTCCGACTGGAAGAGCGCTGTGGGCAGCTGGCACGGCCGGGTGACGAAGGGCAGCGTGGTGACAAAAGTGGAAGCTGGAAACGGGGCTCCAAATGCTGTGGTCTACATCACCGGCAACACTGGGTCGGGCTTTGATTTCGGAAACATCATGAATCCGGACTACACGATTTGCTCGATCTCCCGTTATCTTCCAGGAGGTAAAACGGGGCGCGTTCTCCAAGGTGGTAATGTTGTTAATTGGCTTCACGGTCATTGGGGCGGCAGTGCAGGGGTGGCCCATTACGGCCACTGGATCGGGCCCCATGCTGCGCCGGCCTCTTCCGACTGGCTCGTGATGTGCGGCAGCGCGAACGGAGTTCTCTTCAAGGGCCAGGACAAGACGAACATCGGCACGCGTGCAGCTGTGAAGCACAATGCAGCCTTCCACTTGTACATCAATGAGCTTACAGGCGAGGTCTCCGACTTCGGCGTCATGGAGGTCATTGTGTGGAGGCGGTCGCTCACAGAAGCCGAGATGTGGACCAGCATGGAGTACCTGAATTGGAAACTTCAGGCAGGTTCTGAATGCGGGCAAGCGCTAGACGAAGTCATCTCATGTGTTACACCCTGCATCATGTTGTCCCAACCATGTTTCGTGTAAGGGGCGCATGGATTCATTCCCAAGCCTTGTGACAAGTTTTTCGTCACAGTCCTAGGCAGGACCTCAGCAACCCGCGGCGAAGTCTGACATGGTGGCCTGGTTCAAGAGCGAGGATGCGGGCTCCGATTGGAAGAGCGCTGTGGGCAGCTGGCACGGTCGGGTGACGAAGGGCAGCGTGGTGAAAAAAGTGGAAGCTGGAAACGGGGCTTCAAATGCTGTGGCCTACATCACCGGCAACACTGGGGCGGGCTTTGATTTCGGAAACATCATGAATCCGGACTACACGATTTGCTCGATCTCCCGTTATCTTCCAGGAGGTAAAACGGGGCGCGTTCTCCAAGGTGGTAATGTTGTTAATTGGCTTCACGGTCATTGGGGCGGCAGTGCAGGGGTGGCCCATTACGGCCACTGGATCGGGCCCCATGCTGCGCCGGCCTCTTCCGACTGGCTCGTGATGTGCGGCAGCGCGAACGGAGTCCTCTTCAAGGGCCAGGACAAGACGAACATCGGCACGCGTGCAGCTGTGAAGCACAATGCAGCCTTCCACTTGTACATCAATGAGCTTACAGGCGAGGTCTCCGACTTCGGCGTCATGGAGGTCATTGTGTGGAGGCGGTCGCTCACAGAAGCCGAGATGTGGACCAGCATGGAGTACCTGAATGGGAAGCTGCGGTGAGGTACCTGTGGAGAACACCAGCACCGGAGAGGAAATTTCAACGGCAAATCGGTCGGGTCTGAAATTCTCAGGACATACGACGCTGGGACAGGAAACCAAAAAAAAGGGGTTGTCTCTCTGGAGTGTAGCCGTGAGAGCAAGGGCATGCTCTGGCCTCAATCAAGACACAAAGGTGCGGCGAACAGCGCCGATGTCAAGGTGTGGCAGAACCGGCTCCGTGAGTGTGGCTGAGCTGCGCTTGACCTTCTTGGGTTTAGGGTTTAGGGTTTAGGGTTTACGGTTTAGGGTTTAGGGTTTAGGGTCTAGGGCTTTGGGTTTAGGGTTGGCACTGTGCCAGGCCGTACGGCAGAGACTCTGGGTTTGGGGTTCCAGGTTCAAAGCGTACTTCTCTGTTGAACCGTCTTGGTGGATAAGACAGGCTTCCTTAGGAAAGATGCCTGGGTACACATACGTGCATGTTCTTTTTCAGTCATGGGATTCATGAAGTAGAGCATACTGTCGCCTTGGTCAGCCCCGTGTGGGCAGTTCGCTACATTGGGGGTCCCCTTTTTGGAGTCGTCCTTCTAAGGGTGCCGTACTACACTTAGGACGCCAAAAGGGGACCCTAATGTAGAGAACCCTAACCCTGAACCCTAAACCCTAAACCCTAAACCCTAAACCCTAAACCCTAAACCCTAAACCCCAAACCCGTGTGCAGGCGAGGCAGAGCTCCGAGGCCTTCCGTTGCAATTGCAGGCGGCCGAGGCGGCTCAAGGACTCAGGGCTTGCCATCCTACGGATTAAGAAAGGAGGGTTTAGGGTTCAGGGTTCAGCAGTCCTAGCCGTAAAAAAGGTTCAGGGTTCAGGGTTCAGGGTTCGGGGTTTAGGGTTTAGGGTTTAGGGTTTAGGGTTTAGGGTTTAGGGCGAGGATCCCTGGCAGGGAATGCAAGCTTCAAGCTGTGAACCGGTTGAAGAGGGGGCGTTGAGTCATTGAGGCTTTTGCCTGCGCGCGGTGTCTCAGCGCTGATGCCCCTTCACCCCCCCCCAAATCTTGCACCCTAAGCCCTGAACCCTAAACCCTAAACCCAAAACCCTAAACCCTAAACCCTAAACCCTAAACCCTAAACCCAAAACCCTAAACCCAAAACCCTAAAACCTAAACCAAGCTCACTTCTCGCAGGCGGCATACCAGGCGGTCCTGGCCAAGGTGCAGGGTCTAAGACTTCAGGAGAAGCAGCGTGGCTGGGCGGCTTTTTGGAGTGATATAGGTTTCTGCTAGGGTTTAGGGTTTAGGGTGTAGGGTTTAGGGTTTGGGGTTTAGGGTTTAGGGTTTAGGGTTTAGGCTTAGGGAGGTTTTGGGGCAAGGGGCTTGGGTTGCGGTCTCATAGGGGGTTGTTTTAGAGTCTGAACTCAGAACAACCCCCATACAGCCATTGAGAACCTGATCCTAAGCACTCTGCTGGATTTTTCTTTTCCGATCAGCTCATCCTCTGAGCCCAAGAAGTTTCTGCTGCAGCTGACGCAGATCTACTAATTGCTTAAGAAACCCAAAAAATATAAAATGTTCTTCCCTACTAAGGGTAATATAAGGATGATCATTTTTATTCTTTTGGGGTTCTTAAGCAAATAGTAGAGATGAGGACGAAAAGAGTCCAGAAGTGCAAAGAGGAGGTTGACGGCAGCCACCAAAGTGGCCAAGGTGCTCCGCGAGGGCTCTTCGTCAGCCTGGGGGTTTTCGAGCACGTGCGCCGGTTTCGGGTACCCGAAACCCTAAACCCTAAACCCTAAACCCTAAACCCTAAACCCTAAACCCTAAACCCTAAACCCTAAACCCTAAACCCTAAACCCTAAACCCTAAACCCTAAACCCTAAACCCTAAACCCTAAACCCTAAACCCGCCCCGCGAGTGTATCCTAACCGAAGAGTTTCGAAGTTTCTCAGGGGCTTTCTTTTGTGGCAGGCCATGGGTCCGGTTCATGTGGAGGCCCTCCCAAAGTAAGCGCTTCAACCAGATCTTCGCCCAGACGCCCTCGATCGCCCTGGTCCCTCAGCCCTCCACCTTAAACCCCGAACGACCTGAACCTTGATAAAGTCGGGCCCCCCCAGTTGTTCGACCAAGCCTTGAATGTGTTTCAGCCGGCTATAGCTTATAATATTAGCCTTATACATATATATGTATACATATTTTTTGTCTTATTTCATTTGCTTACTTATTACCTTAATGTTTGCGCCTTAGAACTCACCAGAACTTTAAACGCACGGGTTACGGCGCCCAAAGCCCTGAGGCCAAAACACAAGACCTGGGAACCTGCGCCCTTTGCAGGCCATGCACCTCGTGACCTGGGTGCAGTTTCGGGGCGACGAGCGGCCGTCCGTCTGGCGGGACATTTGCAACCACGCCGTCCGGCCCAGGGTTTAGGGTTTAGGGCTTAGGGTTTAGGGTTCAGGGTTTAGGGCTTAGGGTTTAGGGCAGACTGAAGGTTTGGGTTTGGGTGTGGGGTTTCAAGGTCCAGGCACGTCCGTGGGAGTCCTGGTAGAAGGGGAGGTTTGCAGGAGGCCAGGCGCGTCAGAGTAGGAAAGGACTTCTGAAGCCTCTGTGCTCTCTGAACACCGAAATTCTGTGCATGAATCTTACAGCAGCATGTATATGCGAAGCGCTACTCGCGACTCTTCCAGCACGCATGATTTTGTGCCCAGGTGAAGTTGGAAAGTGTATGTAGGCCAACGGCCTGCCCCGCGAGCCCGATACATGCAGTGTTTCCCATCTCCCTCCGATAAACCGATAAAGTATTCGGCATGTCATCTTACACCCTTATTGCTTCAAACTCAGGAACTAGAGTTAACTTACCATCATAATAGCATTAACAGCAATAACGGTCTCTAACTGAGTCTTTAACTTAAATTCAGCCAGAGAATACCACATCATGACTATTCTGGTAGTGAAACAAGGAATTTCTTCACAAGAGCCCAGTAAAGCCTATACCCACTGAAACTCAGCCTTGAGTTGTGTGTTGGTTTGACCTGAAGTGGAGTTTTTTTTTTTTGTTTTTTCCCCTTCGATTTGTTGCTGGCAGTGTAAGAACTTCTGCTTGGTTTGGTTTTGTTACTATACGTCTGTTACGAACCTTGAGCCCCAACCATATATATAACCTGTGCTGGTGATGTAGATTGGGGCCTATTTCTGCTGATCTTTCAAGGCACGTATTTCGCCCCTTTCAACCTGTATCGTCATTTGCCCGCCTGGCTTTCAGGCGGGAGGCAAAAAGCCCTGAACCCGGTAAGCCCGAACCTTGGGATGTTCCCCCTTTTACTAGCAGTCCTTGATAGGAATATAGTACCCCCTACTATAATCCCTATGAAGGACTGTTAGTATAAGGGGGGGAAAATCCCAACCCCAACCCCGAAACCTCAACCCACGGCCTTGAACGCTGGGCTGTAAGGTTACCTTCGAGTGGGCCGTGGCAGTTGGCGACCGAGATCCAGGCAAACAGCCTGGCGAATTTCGGGAGTTCTGCAAAAAAACGGGTTCAGGGTTTAGGGTCATGTAGCCCTAAACCCTAAATCCTAAACCCTAAACCCTAAACCCAAAGAGGGTCATGTAGCCAGGATGTCTCACACCGAAAACCGAAAGTCATCCACAGGTCAGGGCACCTTGTCAGGCAAAAGGCCCAAGCCCTGCAAATTATAGGCAGTGACCGTGTTGAAACACGTTCTGACGATTTCAGCTCAGGGGCATGCTTGTTAACAGGAAAGCTGTATCGAGTGGCGACATCTGGCCATCCTACCTCAAGGAAGACCTCTAAAGCCTCAAGAGCATCCAGATTCTCAATCCTAGGCAGCCCTAAGACATGTCAATCAAACAGAGCTATCCGAATAGCCTCGTGCAACCCATCAGCAAAAGATGCTGTGGAACTCCCATGGGCAGATCGCCAGACCAATGGGAGGGCATGACCCTCCTAGCTCACTGGCCGAACACCCTCAAAGCCACAGCGATCAATAAACAGCCCCTGGTAATAAACCCTAAACCCGCCCCCCCCCGGTTGCCCTACTAGGCGCAAACCCTCCATCCTGTGTGAGGCCCTTGGCCCTGAACCCCACATCCCCGACGCCCCCCTACAATCCCCAAAAGCCCCAGAACCGTAGACCCCTAACCCTCAACCCTAAACCCTAAACCCGGAACGTAAGGCCCTATGATAAGCCCCCAAAGTCCCAGAGCCAGGGTCTGAGCCGGAAGTGCTCACCCTGCAGGACACGACGTTTTTGGCGGATTCCTTTCATGTCAGGGTTTAGGGTTTAGGGATTCCAGGTTCTGGGTTCAGGAAATAGGGTGTGCTTGGAGGTTCATGGGTACTTATAACCCCGATTGTAACTGTACCTATAAGGCTCCTATGTCCCCTAAGTAGGTGAGAAGTACGGCTATAATTGGAGTTGTAAGTACCCTTGAACCTCCAAGTTGGGTTGTGAATCAGTAGGGCCTTAGCCCTTCGATGCCCACACAGCGTGGGCTGGAACCCAAACCTGAACCCCCCTGACCCTCAACTTACACATCCCCACAGCCCAGAGCTTGACGGCCCAAACCCTAAACACTGTTCCTAAGATCCTAAGACCCTAAGACCGTAAGATCCTCAAATCATAAGAGACCCAAAGACCCTAACACTTTAAGACCCGAAGATCCCAAGATCCGAAGACCCTAAGTGACCAAGACCCTAAGGCACTAAGACCTTAAGATCCTAACTTTGGGATGTTCCCCCCTGTACTGACAGTCCCTAATAATCCCTATTAAGGACTATTAGTCTAAGGGGGAACATCCCAATCCTAAAATCATAAGAGACCCAAAGAGCCCTTGAAACCCCATGAGCTCTCCAGGATTGCCGGGCCGTGGCGCTGGAAGGGCGGAGGCGGGGTAATGAAGAAGGGGCGCACCTCCTCCGGGATTAGGTTGTTGGGGTTTTCTGGTGAGGGGTTTAGGGTTGCTGGCTCGGCCCTTAGTTTCAAGTACCCGCGAGCCCTGATGTGCAAGAAGGGTTTTGGGGTTGGGGGCATCCGCGCAAGCTTCATGATGGAACCGCGATGGTTATGCATCCTTCAGCCACAACGCCAAACCCTGAAATAGCCAGTGGCTCCTAGAGTATTAGCACCCAAAAGGACCAGAGAGAGAACCCCCCTAAACCCTAAACTAAACCCCCGAATCTTGCAGTCGCTTGATGCGAATGCCCCCTGAGGGCGACCAACACTGGCAAGGCCTCCGTCATCACAAGAGACGCTTGGACATGATTTCGAGGGTAGGATGGGCATCCCTGAAGCCACGATCCTAAAAACGCGAAGCCTTCCAGAACGCCCTCGTGTTTTGGTTGTTTTTTTTCTTTAAGGTTGTTGGAGAGTTGAGGGGGGGAGAGGCTGAGAGAGCGAGAGAACAACTCTTGATTGTCCTGCGGAAGATGTTTTTTTTCCCAAAACAGGGCTGCCCCTTCCATGCACCCGAAACAGTATGATCCTTATAGTTGGAACGGGAGCGAGGGGAAGGGAATAGAGAGAGAGACTACAGCTGCCCAGCAACAAGAAGTGAGATTCGCAACAATACTATCCACGAATCAGTAGTAGAGTAGGCAACCTTTAACCTTTTTGGGGTAATAGATTCCTATTCGGATCCCAAAGGTTAACCTTTAAAACCCCTAGGTACTGGACAACTAAGACGAGAAGTGGGACTACGTGCCCGTAAGCCCACGATTCAGTTCAAAGTGCTGTTTGGAACAAAATACGGATTTACATTAGGGGTACCTTATTGAGGTCCTTCTTGTAAGGGGATCCTACTATTTGGGCCGATATTGGGGTCGCCTATTTTCGTAAACCCCCAAATCCGAGCGAGTTGTCAAATAAAGCACTTCTTCAAAACCCGGAAAGGAGAATGGGACGTCTGTGTGGATGACAAAAGAGGAGCAGGGTTGATGCCCTAAACCCTAAACCCTAAACCCTAAACCCTAAACCCTAAACCCCAAACCCTAAACCCTAAACTAAACCCTAACCCTAAACCCTAAACCCTAAACCCCAAACCCTAAGCCCTAAACCCCAAACCCTAAACCCTAAACCCTAAACCCCAAACCCTAACCCTAAACCCTAAACCCTAAACCCTAAACCCTAAACCCTAAACCCTAAACCCTAAACCCTAAACCCTAAACCCTAAACCTAAATAAACCCTAAACCCTGCTTCGGGCTTGGCTTGAGCAGATGTTGGCCTGGGCAGCACCTGTCTCCCCTCCCGTGTCCCAACCCTTCCTTGTGTACAACCTGCACAAACCCTAAGCCCTAAACCCTAGACCCTAAACCTTACACCCCAAACCCTAAACCCTAAACCCCAAACCCTAAGCCCTAAGCCCTAAACCCTAAACCCTAAACCCTAAACCCCAAAGCCCCAAGCCATGATGCAGCGAGGAGGCCCAGAGCATCCTCGTAGCTGGCCGGGAGCGCGCCCTGCCTCCGGAGAAGCTCGGGAGCTTCACCCTGCTCAAGGCCACAAAAGGTTTAGGGTTTAGGGTTTAGGGGTTAGGGGTTTAGGGTTTCGGGTTTAGGGTTTAGGTTTTTTTTCTTGGAAAAGGGTTTAGGGTTTGAGCTTGTAGCAACGATTTGACGTGCGCCGACAGAGAGAACTCTTGGCTTCTTCAGCGGTGGGATCCCAGAATCTGCTCGACGTAGGCCCCCCAAACCCAGTCCCTAAACCCCAAACCCCAAACCCCAAACCCCAAACCCCAAACCCCAAACCCTAAACCCTAAACCCTAAACCCTAAACCCCAAACCCCAAACCCTAATCCCTAACCCCCAAACCCCAAACCCCGAGGTGGATGACTGGTTGCTACGCGGGAGAACGCCCGAAACGATTGCACGCCTCAAGCCCGAAACCCGACAGCACCCCCAAGGCCCTAGGCAACACTCCAACGCCCCAAACTTGAACCTTACCCAAAAAAAAAGCACCCTAAACCCTACACCCTTAAAACCTTGAAGCCATAAAACCCTAAGCCCTAAAACAAAAACAAGCCTCAACCCTAAAACGCCCCAAACGCTGGCATAGCAGAGGCAGGTTTGGGAGCCATGCCCCGCGTGGTGCTGGACAAGAAGGTCCAGAGCTTCTTCGACGACCCGGAGACCGGGATCATCCGTGCGAAGGCGGGGGTTTAGGGTTTAGGGTTAGAAAATGAAGGGTTCGGGGTTTGGGGCTTCAGCGATGGGCGATGGTGGGGGGGGGGGGGCATGCACTCCGCCTTCGGAGGTCTGCAGCCCCCAGCCTCCAACACAGTGAAGACTCAGGTAGCTGAGGACTGACGAAAACACGAGGCCCTCGGACTTCTGTACCCTGAGCCCTCACCCCTCGAATCTTAAACGCTGAGTCCCAGGGCTCGCTAGGGGTTGTCCCCTGGTTCCAAGGGCCCTCTGGAATCCCAACCATCGTTTTAGAGGAGGATGCTCAGATGTGTTGCCGCTACCTTGCTGAAGGATGTGCCGGTTCCAGAGAAGCTGAGCAACGCGGCGGCCTTTCAGGTGGATCTCGAGTTGTAAACTGACCGGACCTGTTTTTCAGAAAGCTGAGGCAACATCCTACGCCCGTACCAGGCTACGGGCTATCATTGGCTAGTGGCGCACTGAGTATTGAGAGACGCGAGACGGACGGGAGACAAAGAGCTAAACCTTACACCCAAATCGGAGGAGGATGAGGTGTGCGTCAAGCTGGTTCGGCATTGAGGGTTCAGAGGCGCTGATGCAAAGCGGGTTGAGGCACTGAGCCGTCGCTGCTGAAAGAACTTCCTGTAATCGCACTGCACTCCCTCCTCAAAAAAAAGAAGTCCTATGTCCTGAGAGTTGCATTGTGCACGGCATGTAACCCAACCCTCCCACTGGTGCCATAGACTTCCCGAAACAGAAACCCTAAACCCTGAACCCTGAACCCTAAACCTGCCCAAGGTTCCCCCTGGCCCAGAATCCTCAGAAAAGGTCAGCAACGCTCGCAACGGCCTTGGCTGCATCCTGGCGGACGACATGGGCCTCGGCAAGACCATCCAGGCAGGTGGCTTAGGGCTTCGGGTTTAGGGTTTAGGATTTGGGAAGCCCAGTTGAAAAAAAAAGGATTTGGGGTTTAGGGTTTAGTGTTTAGGGCTTAGGGAAGCTGAATTCGTTTTGGGGATTCAAGCTGCGCGTTGAAGGTTCGGTGTGGGCACTGACAGTATTGTGCTTCGGTCCGGCTTCCTGGCGTGATCGTGGATGTGTTTGGGGTCCGTGCATGGTGTTGCTTGGAGTAGCTGGGCTTGGGAGGGTTCGTAGTAGGAGTGCTTTTTTGGATCATGTGGGCGATGTGGGGGATCTTCAGGGTCGATCGCTTGAAGCTGATGGTCTGGCTTTGATCATGTGTGCGGCTTCGGGCTGCCGAGGTTTGGAGATGTCAGTAAACCCTAAACCCTGAACCCTAAACCCTGAACCCTAAACTCTAAACCCTGAGCCCTGAACCCTAAACCCTAAACCCTGTGCTGTAGGAGCCCCCAAAAAGACCAGGGTGACCAACAGGCGGCTTTGCGAAAGGCTGGATGGGAAGAATCTTCCATGCCCTATCTTGGAGTATGTAAGCTGGTGTGTGGAGCCGAAGAGGCCGAAACGAGCCCGAAAGAACCCCCCAAACCCTGATCCGGATAAGGGAGCCCAAATTCAGAAGAGCTCCCCAAATGCCCAAAGACGATGCACGCCACCGCCACCCCGCAAAAACCCCAAACCCCCAAACCCCGAACCTTCAAAGGTCAAGCAAAACCCCAGCATCTGGGATGTTCCCCCCCGTATGCTAACAGTCCTTCCATAGGGATTGTAGTACCCCCCCCCCATGATAATCTCTATGAAGGAGCTGTTAGTATAAGGGGAACCCTAAACCCTAAACCCTAAACCCTAAACCCTAAACCCTAAACCCTAAACCCTAAACCCTAAACCCTAAACCCTAAACCCTAAACCCTAAACCCCAAACCCTAAACCCTAAACCCTAAACCCTTTAAAAAAAACCCTAAGCCCTCAACCCTAAACATCCCAACCCAGCGGGTCAAGAGGCCATCGCCCTCATGCTGTTCATGAAGAAGAGCCTTGGCTCGGGGCCCTTAAGCCCCAAACCTTAGGATGTTCCCCCTGATACTAAGAGTCCTTAAAAGTAGGGACTCTAGCTGCTTTCGTAACGCAGGCTTCGAGGGTTTAGGGTGCATGGCAGGATCACCCTGAACCCGGACCAGCATAGCTTAGGTTCCGTGAGTATGTTGCTAGCAGGAACCATGGTTCCAGGATTCTCGGCCTCCTTGTGGGCGCTTTAGGTGGTGGGCGTTTTTGGGGGGTTCGGCGTCCTGACCAGAGGAGCCACATGCTGGCGCGGCCGATGCTGGTCATTGTCCCGAGGCTTGGCTGCAACTCGGTCCATCCTCTCGTCAGTCAGGTAGGCCATCTTCTTCTTCCTTAGGCGAGCATATGTCCGATCAGGTTCACCAAGGCACTGAGATGAGTTGCCTCCCCCCCAGGCCCAACAACCCTTTCCAGCCACAGTTTGACCCGAAACCCAAAACCCTAAGCCGCCGTTGTGAGCACAGCACCCATCTGGTTCATTTGGTGAGATGTAATTCCGAGCCTTACCGATATTGTCCCCTTGCACTCCCTATGTAACCATGCTGATTCAGTAGGCCCCAGAACTACCCACGAAAGCAGCCTAGCAGATGCTGCTGCCAATCCAATAGGCCTCAAAAGGAATGATGTGTCGAGTGTTCAGCTGTTGGCACTGGCCAGTTCAATCTGCCCAAGGGCCTTAGGGTTTAGGGTTTAGGGTTTAGGGCCTTAGTCCTGAGAAAGCACCTCAGCGAGGAGAAGCTCAACTTAGTTTCGTTGTGGCGGCGTTGGGAAGCTGCTGGTTGTGGTGGTTTTGTGGGTTTGTGGGCCCTAAACGTGGGATGTTCCCCCTTACACTAACAGCCCCTTATTATTATTGGGATGATCATCGGGGGTACTGTAATCCCTATTAAGGGCTATCTAGCACAAGGGGGAACATCCCAACCCTAAACCCCAAAAGCCCCCTCGGCTCTTGCCTCAACCCGAAAAGCCTCAAAAAGCATCCTGGAGCTACGCCCTGCGCGCCAAGGAAGGGCTTGCTGAGCAACTGGTCCCGGGAGCTACAGAAGTGGGCCGGTGGTGAGCTGTCCCACTCCGTGCTGCTCGTAGTCGCATACAGGCGTGAGGAGTTTCGTTCAGATCCCCCGAGCCTGCGGGTGTCCTGGTTCATGCGGAACCCTGCAAGTAAACCTTTGGCCAGACGAGTCTAAATCCGGTGTTCGTGGTCCTCTAACTCCTGTCTCGGCTCCTTTGTATGCATCTGGGAGAAGTCAGGAGGCACGAGGCCTTTGGGTTTCGATGGTGTTCGGATCTCGGGGGCAGATTGGGGGTCCAAGGATTCAGAGAAACGTAGCCTTGGGGCTCAGGGTTTCCTATGTCAAGGGGCTTGCTGTGGCCATGGAGCCCTTTATCCTAAGCCCTAAACCTTAAGCCCTAAACCCTAAACCCTATATAAACCCCAAGCCCAGGTTCCACGGCAACTGCAAGAAGCTCTTGGCCAACGCCCGGCGGGAGAATGCCGATGACCCTGCACGGTTTAATTGGGGTTCAGGGTCTGGCTTGCAAAGGTTTTAGGGGTTGAGGTTTAGGGTTTAGGGTTTAGGGTTTAGGGTTTAGGGTTCAGGGTTTAGGGTTTAGGGATGCTTAAGGAAGGTTCTGTGGTGGGTCGATGTTCTTCTGCTTCCTGGTTTTGTATTTCGAAGCCCACTGCGCCAAGGATACCCTCAAGAACAGCGCCTTAAAACCCGGTGCCCCAGCAGCTGCGGCCCGATTCTTACTTGGCTCCGCCCGGGGAAGGGGTGTGGCTCTGCGGCTGACGCTTTTTTACTTTCGAGTTTTGGGGATGGAGATTTCCTGCGGAGCCTGTCTTCTTCCCTTAGCTCGTATTCTGTGATTGGCCTAAGCCCTAGGCTTCTAGTCGGATTCCTTGATCTACCAACCCAGCGGATGACTTCAGTGAACCCCTCCGGTTGAGCGCTTTCGGGTTTAGGGCCCAGTTTA